CTTTACTCTTTAATAATAAAATTATGAAAAACCATGTATATCTAATTGAGAAAATCCTGTTAATGAAATTGAGAAAAGCTTTCTAAATCAAATAGAATGCCTTCTAAATCTTCAAAAATTGCTACCCTACAATAAATCATTATAATTGTGTTTTAGATTTGGAATAAACCAACATTATATATTTAACATCAACATATCCTATTGATCTTTCCATACCCAATTCCTGCATTGAGTTGCTGGCATTATTTATTGAATTGATTATATTATCGATATGTATCATTGCAATCATTGTTCAAACGATTTCAAAAATATTGTTTTATATAATAAGCATCAAAGGTAACATGGTGGTTTTAAAATATTATGTAAATTTCCTGGATGTAAAAAAGAAAGTTTGAATTATTTAAGCTTTAGACAACACATTTTAAGATTTCATAGAAATAATGGTAGTTTTTCTTGTAATTTTAAAAATTATAACTATTTCTGTTCAAGCTCAATATTATTGTAAAAACACTACAAAAGTCACAATATAAATGAGCATTCTATTTAGTGTCATTACTGTCCTAAAGTTAGAGGGTTTAGTTCTCAAAATGCCTTAAATGTACATTTATCATTAAAACACAGAGATATGCAGGAAATATATGATCAACCTTCATTATTTTATGAAAATAAACACGGCAATAGAGAAATAATATTAGAAAACAACGTTGATCATTCTGTAAATGAAATTAAAATTAATTTTAATAAAGATGAGTTCGAGCGTGAAAATATCAACTCACCGGACACAGTCATAAAAGATAACATTTTCAACGATGATCACGAATTAATAAATGATATATTTCAAAAAGAAACTTTAGCCGTTGATATATATGGTAAATTATACATCAATCTCAGTTCGAAACATTTTGCGACGGATTCTGCAATACAAGAAGTATGTGGAAGTACAATGGCAGCATTGAAAAATTGCCATGAAAAGTTTGTTTATTTACTAAACAAATCTGATTTAACAAGCGACAATAAATCTAAAGTTTTGCAATTGTTAACTAAATTTACGGTGAAATAATTGATGTTCATGACGTTTCAAAGGGTATTTTCCGCAGTACACACACTCGAAAAAAGTTCTATCAAAGAAATTTTAAATATGTTGAGCCATTAGAAATAACTCTTCAAAACAGTCATGGCAAAAATACTGATTGTACTTATACTTACGTTCCAATCTTGGAAACATTGAAAGTTATGCTGTTAAACGAAACTATCAGGAATTGTTGTAGTAATATAGCTCCCTCATCTCCGGAAAATTGTTTGTTTGATATAAACGATGGTAGCGTATTAAAAGATAACAAATTTTTTAAATCGAAAAACCGTATAAAAATTTTAATGTTTCAAGATGCTTTTGAAGTTGTAAATCCCTTAGGATCTTGTAAGGGTAAATTCAAAATGCTTGCCGTTTATCTAATGTGCGGCAATTTACCTCCACACTTAAGGTCGAAAACTAATAACATTAAATTGATATTACTATGCTGTGAAAAATTTGTTTCTCAATTTTCATGGTCAGAAGTACTGAAAATCCTTGTAAGCGATTTAAAAAAGTTAGAAACTGATGGGATTCGAGTTGATGGCAAAACATTTTTAGGGAGCCTTGCATATGTGTTAGGTGATAATCTAGGGAGTCATTAAATCGGAAGATTTTCAGAAAATTTCAGCACTTCTCAATACTTTTGTCGACACTGTGAAATAACACTTGAAGAGTTTCGAAAAAATCCCTTCGATAGAAAACCTTTAAGGACTGTAGAGAGTTATGAGAAATGTATTATTGAATGCAAAAATATTTCAATTAATACGCGACTTAAGTCTGCTACCAAAAAAGTTAGATCCGTCAAAGGTATCAAACTTAACTCACCTTTGAACGAATTAAAGTATTTCCACGTTAGTTCTCCTGGTTTACCACCGTGCATTGCACATGATATCTTCGAAGGCATTGTGCCGTATAATATGTTTTTGGCAATCGAATATTTCGTGAAGAAGCGTTGGTTTAAGCTGGGACTATTAAATATCCGACTAAACAATATTAAAGTATTAGATCAAGTATTATTTATTCCGCAAATAAAAAAAGAATCAAACAGCAAAAGACTAACTGGAACTGCTAGTCAAATGAGACGTTTATTGTTGATTTTTCCATTAGCTGTCGTAAATTTGATAAAAGATTTTGTTGATAATGTTTGGAAAATGGTTTTATTACTGCGTGAAATATGCTGTTTTACATGCGCACCTGTTTTAACAATCGGTCAAAATGCTCTTTTGCAAAGTTTTATTGCAGATTACATTAAATTAACCCATTAACGTCCAAAATGTCAAAATTTCTTGCACGTTTTCAAAGTGATTTTTTCCTATGTAATTGGCATTGAAAAAATTCTTGAACCACATATTCTGATGTAAGATTGCATGCTCTTTCAGAATCCGTTGCCAGAATCATGATAAAACTCACAGGAAAAGAGATATGCTCGATTGAAACATAAAAAACACCTAAATTTTTGAAAAAAAAAAATTTTTAGGATTTTTTTTCGAAGTGTTACGGTGAAGATATCACCTTGCGACCGTGATCAAAGGTGATCATGGGATTTGAAGTTTAACAGGGAATTTTTTTGTTTACCTTGAACCATCGCTTCTTTACAAAATGGCGGAAAAAACGAATTTTTTTTTTTTCAATCTTCATCAACTTTTTTCTCAAAATCTATGGTCTTTAGAAAAAAACTCATAAAAACAAAAATGCCTTAGAATCGCTCGAGGAACATACTCAAATTTTTTCAGAATTTTTTGAGACAATTTTTGATTTTCCGGGAAACTTGGGAAATGGAATTTTGAAAAATGTCTCCAAAAATTCTGAAAAAATTTTAGGATGTTTCTCGAGTGATTCTAAGACATTTTTGTTCTTATGAATTTTTTTCTAAAGTCCATAGATTTCGAGAAAAAAATTGATAAAGTTGAAAAAATAAAAATTCGTTTCGGCCGCTATGTTCACTTTATCAATTTTATTCTCGAAATCTATGGACTTTAGAAAAAAATTCATAAGAACAAAAATGTCTTAGAATCACTCGAGAAACATCCTAAAATTTTTTCAGAATTTTTGGAGACATTTTTCAAAATTCCATTTCCCAAGTTTGCCGGAAAATCAAAAATTGTCTCAAAAAATTCTGAAAAAATTTGAGAATGTTCCTCGAGCGATTCTAAGGCATTTTTGTTTTTATGAATTTTTTTCTAAAGACCATAGATTTTGAGAAAAAAGTTGATGAAGATTGAAAAAAAAAAAATTCGTTTTTTTCGCCATTTTGTAAAGAAGCGATGGTTCAAGGTAAACAAAAAAATTCCCTGTTAAACATCAAATCCCATGATCACCTTTGATCACGGTCGCAAGGTGATATCTTCACCGTAACACTTCGAAAAAAAATCCTAAAAATTTTTTTTTCGAAAATTTAGGTGTTTTTTATGTTTCAATCGAGCATATCTCTTTTCCTGTGAGTTTTATCATGATTCTGGCAACGGATTCTGAAAGAGCATGCAATCTTACATCAGAATATGTTGTTCAAGAATTTTTTCAACGCCAATTACATAGGAAAAAATCACTTTGAAAACGTGCAAGAAATTTTGACATTTTGGACGTTAATGGGTTAAGAGTGAAAAATTTTCCTCAAGTCAATTTGCGACCTAAACATGAATATATACTATACCCGAGATGAACGAATCATTTGGTCCTGTAAGACACTTATGGAATTTGCGTTTCGAAAGCAAGCATTGATATTTTAAGAATGTTGTTAGACATATTCAAAATTATAAAAACATTACGCAAACTCTCGCAGAGAAACATGAGTTACTGCAATGCTCGATTTTAGATGAATACGTCGATAAAGTAAAACCATTAAAACCTATTATTGATATTGATTTAGTATAAATGGAACCAGATGTTGAAAATGTTATTTTTTACTTTTGCACGAAATTTTTTGTCAGTATTAAATATGTATGTTAAAAAATTGAATTTAAAGGTATAAAATACGGTGAAGGAATGACGGTTTGACCGGAAAAAATATTTATGGCAATTTGGAAATTTGTACAGTGGAACATATTTTAATTAACGATGGCCTTATAGACATATACTTTTTAGAATACATACATGAAATTGCAATTATACCAGAATTAGGAGTTTATGACCAAATTGATTAAAAAAGCATATAAAATGCGCTCAATGTTTGGCACTAATCCCATCTTCATTTTTACTTTCTCCTGATCCACTGCCTGTCTACTACCTTGAGTCCGTTCCTATTTATGTTTTCAAATACATGCCTATTGATCGAGATTTAACATAAGTTTGTAAGTATGCAAAAAAAACAAATCAAGACTGATTATTATATTTGAGCTTCTTTTTACAAGCAACTGAAGAATTTAAAGTTTGCAGTTTAAATACTACTTGTGATACATTTATTGCATTTTTGTTTGTTTGAGTTTTGGTGGCTAATTAAATTTTATTTTGGTGACTGTTTGACATTTGTTTCGTTGTAAAATAGAATTTATGCGTTGAAAATTTCAATGAAAAATAATTTATTTGTTGTTTTTCTTTTGTCTAAATGTAGATGCTTCTGTTCAAAGTATGGAATAATGAAAGGGACAAGAAGGTTGCCGTAACTGTGGATGACGATGAAGAGTTATTAACGAACGTAATCGTTAAAAGTACAACCAAATTAAAAATAATAGATCTTGATTTAACTCTCGTCTTAGAATGTGACGGTACAATCATCGATGACAACGATTCACTGAGATGTTGCCAAGACAAAGTCTTGATGTTACTGTCCGATAGGCAAAAATGGCTTGCAAATGATTCAAATTCTCTACATTTAGAAAATAGTATTTTTCATGACCCTATTACTCCAGAAGCTCGATTATCGACATCAAATGCAAACGCAACGGCAGAAAAAAATATTGATCTTATCGACAATGTAAGCGAAGAAAAAAAGGTTGAAGTGCCAAAATCTATTCGAGATGAAGTCGCAAAACATCTGATGGAAAACAAGACCAAGGACGTCATGAAACAAGTAAAAGTGCCTTGGCTCACTTTTGAACCAAGAATTTTAAAGAATCTTCAGAATGGTCCGCGTCTCAACCCTAATGATGTAGATAAAATTGTGCGAAGAACTATAGCGAATTTGGAATTTTAGATACAACTGCTACTGTGCCCATGTTAAACAAAGTTGCTGAAGAAATGGTTACTCTATATCCTGAAACATTTGAAGACCGTAAGAGCGATGGAGTCACAAGACGCGGGAATGGTACTGCAGCTATTTTGAGCAAACTTGTAAACCATCAAAATTATTTGACAAGAAAACAGACTGGTACGTTAACCAAAAAATTAAAAATTCCTCTAGCAAAACAGAAAAAATTAAAGTTTGTGAAGTCTGGATGTATCAACTAGCAGCCAGTATCTATACCACCAGAAGAGACTAAAGAAACGATTGAACAAAAGAGACTCACTATTTTTGAATATAAAACATTCAATGTAGAAGATAATGAAGAGTTTAATTTCATAACGAATATTCTACAACAAACGTTTGCAACTCAAAGATCTTTCATAAATAATACGGCTCCAGAGGCAATATCAATACATGCAATATTGAAGGAATGGCCCTGTTTATTGCACAAGGATATTCTGTACATTCATTTCCAATTACTTATTCAAGCATCCGTGAAGATAGCAAAAGAAAAATTTACTGCAGATATTTTGAAGGTTTTATCATTGGGGCTAATGAAATCTTATATTTTAAAAGACAGCATTCATTCCCAAAATCATGCTTTTTTAGTCATGCAAATAATTTTCAAACATTTTAATGAGAATTATGAAGAAACTTTCATTCCAGTTGAGGTTTGTATTTATGTAAGACATGCATAACGCTATGAAATAAATTATATAAATTATATACTTATTTTTTTCAGAATGAATCTCAAATCAGTGATTTAACGTTGTACAGTGCTGATCCGTGTATTTTGGAACTGAGTGGGTAATGATATATAATTTAGTGCAAATTTTTAGTTTGATAATGAGTCTCATATAATTATGTATTTCAGACAAAGAGCCTAAAGAATTTCTACTGGTAAAAGATTGTAACGTTTTTGAGAGGACCGATTCGATTGTCGACGCTGTATTTATTATGGTTGCTGCTTGCTTTGCCTTCAATCATCTTTACCATGACTAAAGGAGTTATTTTTTGGAGTTCATTCAGAAATTTTATTTCGAAATTTTTGCGAACGATCAAACAACTAGGGCTCGTTTATCTAAAATTTCTAAGAAAGTTAACATTCTTCAAAATGTTCTTACTAAAATTGAAATTAGCGAGATACTTTTTCCTACGGTCGAGGGATCTTAGATTTTAATATTTTATTATTATTTATTTGTTAATCTATTTATTTTATTTAAATATTTGTAGTGTCCTGATTACAGATATTAATAGTTCATGTTCCTAAGGTGTTACTTTTTTGCATTACATTTGTAGTTTTACAGTTCTTTTTGCGAGTATTCTATTGTATAAATTTGTATTGTCATTACGAGCATCATGATAAGTATAAAAAAATATAAGAAAAAAATGTGTTCAACATGTAGTATGTTACTATTATTGTAATGTAAATAATACATAGATATTTTCAATAAAGAGTTTTATTGTCATTCAAGCATTATTTATCTGCATTATACTAGTATAAAAAGTAAGTAAAATTACTAATCATTTAAATAATCACTAAATACAGTTTAATAAAACTACAAAATACAAGTAGCACTTATAAAATTTAATAATCATACGTGTAGTATAATATTTACTGTACGAGTTTGTAATTTTTCTAATTTCTTGTAATCTTACGATTTTGAACGTAAAATAGCACTGTACAACGGTGGTCGGATTTTTACTCATTCTGTACGTAGTGATCTTCATAAAACTTTTTTATAAGTGTAGTCATGATCTAATTCGCTGAACAATAGTCATGTGATCAGTTGTTGTGTAATAGTATATATTGTGTACGCTTATGAAAGGTTACTGCAGATTTCCGTAAACAATTAAATGTTCGACAAATTTATCAGTATAGTTGGGATGAATTTAACATGCATTGATTGCTTTAATCATACTAATCTCAAAATAATGACCGTCTGATACCTCGCTAGTGAAATTTATTGAACTTTGCTCTATGTAAAAGTTTAATTTTAAATAAATAAAGTAGACAATAAAAGATATAAATAGATAGATTATCACATAAAATATTGTACAGTGATTTCAACTTTATGAATTTAAGTGAGATATTAAAAGATGTTTTTAAAAAGTCACTAATTATAACAGTGAACGTTCCATATCAAAATATATCTATTGGAATTACACACAGATTATGATATTTTTTATCGTGTTTTTCAAATCTTTGAATAATTATTTTTCAATGTAATTTGGGATGAAACAAAACATAAAACTTCATTGAAAACATTTTTTAATTATGAGTATCAACGTAATAGTATATATGTATTTATTAATAAATAATATCGTCGGCTCTATCTCATATTAAATCAAAGGAATATTTAATGCATATTGAATTCTGAATTTTCAATTTTGACAATAAAAGTTTTGATTCGTGCGTTAAAATTAATATAAAAAGACGATAAAGATAACCGCGGAAAATGCGCTAAACATCGCAAGTTACGTAATAACTAAGAAACTTATTTGTTTACTATTTTTACTTTATATTCATAGTGATTGGATAAAATCTAATTTCCATTTTATCTATCATGAACATTTTCTTCAGAGAAAAATAAATTTGTAAAAAAATTTAAATTTAAACAAAAACATGCTTGCTTCCAATGGTTTTTATTTTCAGGTGGTTTAAGATGATAGTCAACCAATTTTTTCAATGCAATTATTTACTATATTCTTGAAAAAGATCAAATGTATAAAATTGGAACAAATTGACATACTGGAAACTTGACAATTTATTTGTCACTATTTATTTATTTTTTTATGATTGATTTACTCATTTTTATAAAATTGATTATTGATAAAATTAAATTATATCCATTATTAACAAACAGTAATTTATTAGGGTGTATTCTTCTAGAATATTAGATGAATTTCAATATAAGTTTATAAGAGTGATTGAAATTATTTTCATACCTGATCTTTTTTGTACTGAGCATCAACTATCCATCTGATAACAGTTTTATTTTCTTCTTCTGGTATGAATAATGGCACTATATGCATATATATTATATTTAGACAATTTTTTGTATGATTTAAAAATATAATAATAAGTCTACCCTTACAGTTATTTTCTGTAGTATCCATGTAGTCTTCTGTTGGCTTTAATACATCAACAATATTTATACGCTTCTGAGATTGTTTAATCTGAACATTTACTTGTACCAAACCCTCACCTTGTACACATTGATCCACTAAGTTCTTATGACTTTCAAACTAAAAGAATATATTGAAAAAAATAATTTTATCAAAATTTATATTAAAAAGACATGAAAAAATAAACAAATTATTAAAAAGTTTAAAATACAATACCATTTGCGTATCTTGTAACCAAAAGGTATAATCCAATAATTCAATACTCAATCTTTGCTCTAATAGATTTCTAAGTGTTGATAAAGGTTCTCTAATATCCATGTGCTGCTTTATTACACCTTCATAGTTGTCATCTCCATTCACAACACTTTCTAACGTGAAACTGGGTTCAACTTCTAAATCTGAAGATTCTTGTTGTAACTGAGCTATTATGTCATCATCTTGAGAAAAAATACCACCTGGCTCTAATTTTATTCTTTTCATTGTTGAGAATTCTAATTCTTCATCAACACCACAACTGCATATGATAAATATATAAGTTGCTAATACAATTAGTATTCATTTCATAAACCAAAATAAAAAAAACCAAAACCAAGGTTATAAAACGATTTGTATACATTTTCATTCTACATAAATACCTTTTGTTTGAATCTCTACACTGATGAACAATATTCATTTCAATTGATATTTGATATTAAGTATTAATATTCGCTTTTTAATAAAAAATGTTGCTAAATAATCTTAGTTAGTGTTAGGTCGGATTCTTTTTATTTTTGTTTTTGCACTTCTTCAAAAGTCCTATAAATTGACGCTTAAAAACAAAAAAATCGAGATAATAGTAAAAGAATTTATGGCATTACATTCGACATTCCTTAAATAATAAATTAGGTTAGCTTATTTATTTGCACATCCACTCTTAGATCCTCGACAGTTACCAAAGAATAGGAACAAATATAAGGTATAGGAAAAAGAATAGGAACAAGCGTCTTGTTCCTCAGTTTCATGTTTGTAACCTAATGTTGTTTTAATGACGTAAAGATAATCATAAATTTAATTTACCAAAAGATTTTAAAAAATTTATTCGAAAAAATATATATAGTTATTTTTTAACATTAATTTTAATTGAAATTATTTCTAAATTAACCTAAATTCAAAATGAATTCATCAGAAATTGAAATAGACAACTAATGCAACTTCAAACTAGTGCTACAATGCTTGATGTTTCATGGAAGTTAGTACAAGTAAAAGATGGCTTAACAGAAGGTAGCTTATTCGACCGATTAATTAGAGAAAATTATCAAGGTTTTTTAATACTTTATATAAAGAGTTAAATGATGATTCTGATATGTTTTTCTCTTGCAGTTTTATGGATTCAATTACATTTGTCAAATTGCTATGGAGCAGTCGATGACAAATACGTTATTAAAGCTCTTGCTAACTCTGCATCTTTATTTTATAATTATAAAAAAACTAATAGTATTGTTTTATTAGCTGCTTAATCACAAGTATTATTTTAATTTATTTTATTTTTAGTTTAAAGTATTTGTATGTTTAAGTCAGAATTTGACAAAAGTATTATTAAAAATATACTTGCAAATACAAATTTACTATTGTTGATGTTGGTTTATTTGGTGGGAAAAGTCATGGAAGTGTCTTCTCACGAAGTGAGTTTGACAGAAGGTTTCATAATAATAACACTAATTTACCAATTTGATTTACCATTTTTATTCCCTAAAACAAATTTATTTTAAGAAATAAAAGATGCATTTAACTATAAATAACTGTAAATAACACTTATTACCATTTCCCTATTAGAATAAAATATTAATAACTATTATTTGTAATTAATTACAATTCATAATTTGCCAATACCGGACACAAAAAAAGTCCTTGTAGGCAAAAAAAATAAATGATAATAGCATTATATAAGTACTTAAACTATTTCTCAATTATCACATGTGATAACTAACTATTTATTACAGTTGTAAACAATTATTTACATTTTTTAAATTGAGTTAAAAACTGTTCGTAACTGTTATTAATAGAATTTTTTTATGTGATAAAAAAATGCATTTTCGAAATCGTCTGAAACCATTAATGACTTATCTGATTATTACTAACAGAAAAAACCTGTTAATAACTTTGATACATGTCTAAAATTTAATGTTTATAAACTATTTCAAAATAAAAATAACTGCATGCAATAATTTTACACACAAATTATTTCCAAAAGAGTAATTATTTGTTTTCTAAGACTCATAGATATATTGAAAATACATTTGGTATTTTAGTGGCTCAATGGGGAGTTTTAAGAAAACCTAAGAAAAATAGGTTTGCAACCAGAACATGTAGGTATAAGTTTATTCTAGCAAGTATATGTTTACATAACCAACTCATGGCTCAAACTCAAAAACCAGTGAAACAACTTTGTTGTTTATGATTTTATTGATCATGAAGGTGAGCATAGAATTATTCCATGGGCCTTGGAGAATAGATTTTGAAGTGATTATCAACTTTTTTGTTGTTACATGTGTCAAGCTGTCAATCATCTAATAACGCTCACATAATGAACTCAATTTCAAGTGCCACAAGTGATAAGTTGGTCCAATAATGAAAGCTCTATGTCAATATGCTTGAGAACTGAACTTTCCTGTCAAACATGTATATCCTAAGTATAAATACTTTTAGCAAAACATACATTTATTTGAATTGTAAGCTTATTGGTATAGTATTAAAACAAAGTTTTAATACTACAAACAATTTTTCTGCTGCACACAGCCAATGTTCACGCTAAAATTTTAATAAGTTAATCAGTACGAAATCAGAATTTTATAAAATAATGGTACTTATAAAATGATAAAGTCAAAAACTTACATTCTCTCATTGATTATTTATAACAGCTTTACACATGTCTTTTATAGCCTTTGTACAAATGTGAATTGGACTATCACAGCTAATTTCCTTTGAGTGAGTGAGTGTAATGTCTTCTCTCCTATTGAAATTTCCTAAGTAATAAAAGTTGCTTTGTGAAAGCTTGATCTTTAATAACAAATACTGCTAGTGGTGGTATACTATACTTGAAACTAATTTTGAATTGCTGTTCAATATTTTTTTAAGGTTTATTGCAATCAAAAAATTTCATTCATTAATATAAACTTATTTTCTCTTTAGTTAGATCTTTAATGACAATCGTTAGAATATCAGATAAAAAAGTGCACACTCACCAACGATACCATGCCTTGATTGCAATAAACCTTAAAAAATATTGAACAGCAATTCAAAATCAGTTTCAAATATAGTATATCACTACTAGCAATATTTGCTATTAAAGATCAAGCTTTTACATTATCATTAATCCACATTTCCAGTTTATCAATCCTATCTTTAGTTTAAATCCTATGTAAGTCAAAACATATAATTAAGTTAATTAGTTTAATATTTATAATAAGTTAATTAAATTAAATGTACGATGACATGATTTTTTACCTGTAGACAATGAATTTTTTCTGAAAGTAAAATTCTCTTCAAAGGTGCAGAGGAATCCATGAAAAATAACTACAAAGAATCAAAATCTTTACTACTAAGTTATTATAAAATATGAGATTCACAATACTCATCTAAAATTTTTAATACTTTGGAAGTATTTTCATGAAGAAGCGCAAGCAAAGGCGAAATATGTCAGATGCAAAGTTGCAATATCTCGGAAATGACATTTTCGAATTATAAATTGATGAACATCGTATCTGCAAAAAATGAAATAGTGATACCAGATATATTTATATATTTATGTATGAAAATAATATATTTTTTTTTTTAAATGTCAAAGGCCTCGACCTCGCCTTATACTGCGTGATGCTCAACCACTCTCTTAGCCCCTCCAAATTTTTCCTCGAGGTTGAAAAAAATTTTTTAAATGAAATAAATATAATTTAATAAAACTATAATAAACTATAAAAAAACTGTCTAACGGGGGAGATTATCTGAAAAAAATGGAAAATTTTTTAAGAACAAAACTCCCACGATGCAGAGCTCACCGCCGCTCAGTTAAACACGCTGGTATGATTGTACGTGTATTCGCCTCTACGTCAGATGATTTCGCTTAAGTGTCTTCTATCGAACGAAGTTGAACTTACCATAAGTCATGTGACTTGATGAATCTTAGGTGTGGGCGACTTTACGCCTAATCCACTTAATCCCTTAGATGTAATCGGATTAAAACGTAAGTCTCTTACAAATCGCTTAAGCTACTGGGAAAATTCAATGCGAATAAATTTGACTAACTTTAATTAATAAAAATAACTACAGTCTTTATTGGGCCGAAAGACTAACGCTCGCGAACAGGATTTTACAATGAATATTATTCGGTGAGAGAGAGAGAGAGAGAAAGAGAAGATTCGAATTTTACCGCGAACTAACGCTCGCCGCGAATACAAAAAAATCGTTATCACGATTGACAAAATACCGAATGTATTTTGTCACGCAATAATGACGGAAGGTGCACCTACCCTGCAGTGCAATTACGGTGATCAGCCGTAATTGTTGATAAAATATATCAACTGCCGCTACCCGCCTATTTATCAGCTGCGCTGCCTCAATCTGTCTCCAATCAGCTATGATGTTGCTTCTGCACTGCTGCTACTTGCCGCTGCAATAAAGTCGTTGCACTTACGCACGTAATATTATCCCAAGAAAACTTTAATATTCGGCGAAACAAAGTGCAAAACAAAATCGGTGGTAAAGTCGCGTGAACAGCTGAGGCGAAACTGTTTAATTTAAATGCTCGCGCGCCCCCTTTCTCTCTCTCTCTTAATTGTTCGTACTAAGGCGCGAGTTACCGAATCGCGAACGGATCGATTACTTGAATCGACTACCGCTGCAGCCCCCTCCAAGTCCTGACTACCTGCGCAGGACGAATACCCGTGATTCGCTGCTATCAGGAACCTGAAAAAAAAAGAAGGAAAGGAATCAAATAAACCTAAACTTTCCTTCTTTAACATGGCTATTTTATAAGCCCTCCAGGGCCTACATCATTTTTTGGCTATACCTGGCGCTTGATGTTTCGGGTAGCGCCAGTGTGTAGCTTTCTTCGGGCACCGCTGGGAGTTGGTCACCCCAGGCTCCCCACATATGTAGCAGCCCCTCAGCTGCGATCGGGATTGAACAAACTCCTGATCTTGAATGGTTTGCTCAGCGCCGGCGGCGGGACCGCTGCGGGGGTTTCCTGTCCATTGTCCACCCGCAGCAAGGCCTCACCGTAGGCCCTCTGGCGCTGAGCCATCTCTGCCCACTCCCCGAGCAGTTCTTCTGCGCCCTGGCGGTTCATGAAGCATCTCAGGTGCTCCTGCACCTGAAACTGAAGATCTTTGGCGAACCGCCAGGCACTCTCCACCTCGTTAATCCCCAGACGTACGTGTCTGAAGTCGAGGAGGGAGGAAAGTAGGCTGCTCCGAGATACGGGGGTGGTTGCAGACCCAGTGCGATGCCTCACAGGTTTCCCTGGGTCCTCGGCACTGGCTCGCACTGTCCGACGTCTGGGGTACGCCGGACTTGAGGGTCTGCACCCCCTGGACCACGGTGGACATGGGACACTTGACCTCTTCTTGGTCCTCCGTTTGGGTGCAAGCGTCCCGGGAAGCCTTCGGGGCGACCCACGATGCGTCCCGGAGAACGTCCGCCACCGAAGCGTTGTGGCGCTCCTTTCGGGTGGTCCCCTCCAAGTGGACCCTGGCGAAGCTCCGCAGATCTTCTATCAACTACGTCGCATCAGGACCCAGCTGCAGATCCAATAACATCTACATGACCACCTCGAAGGTCTCCTCTTCAACGACGATTCTCCGGTCCATCCAAAACAAAAAATCTCGGATGAAACTCCCTGCGCGAAGAAAAACCCTATTAAACGCCGCATTCCACCGAGTTATGTATTCCTTCGCGATTCTTTGCGGGAACGTCCTGGCCGTCGTCGGTTACCGTTCGGGTTTATCGGCCCAACCGTCCTTTGCACGACGGGCACGGTCTTTCGAGGCTTACCTCTCCCAGTAGATTCCTTTAACCCATTAACGACCAAAATGCTCAATTTTTTTGTCGATTTTCAACGCGATTTTTTCGGTGGTCATAGGCCTAAGAAATTTATGCAAACACGTATTTGGATGGGAAATTTAACGCTCTTTCGGAATCTTTTTTCCAAATTGCGATTGATTGCGTTATAAAAAAGTTATAGCCAATTAAACAATAAAAACCTGAAAAATTTTGCAAAAAATCAAGTTTGCGATTTTTTTTAGCAATGTTACTGCTAAAAAATCATCAAACAAATATGATCAGAGGTGATCACGACTATCAAAGTATCTCCAGGAATTTTAGTGTAATTTTTGAACCACTTCTTCCAACAAAATGGTGACAAAATAAAAAAAAATCCATAAAAAACATTTCTCATTTTTATCTCGGAAACCATTAAGTTTAGATAAAAAGTTCATTGAACAAAAAAGTCTCAGAATTAAACGAGAAATGCGCCTGAATTTTTCCAGAATTTTCCGAGGCGATTTTTGAATTTTCGGAGTATACGGAAAATCCATTTTTCCAAAATCATCTCCAAAAATTCTGAAAAAATTCATGCATGCTCCTTGATGAATTCTAAGACTTTTTGTTCTATAATCTTTCCCTCTAAACTCAATAGTTTTCGAGATAAAAAGTGAGTTATGTTATAATCCTAGCAGCGTTAATATTTTTGATACAGAATAAAGAACAGCCATTCAACAATAATATAATAATGTTTTGTCTTTTTATGTGTATAAAAGTGCAGTTTGTATAGTGTATACTAATATACACATATCAAAAAAGCAATTCAGAAAATTGTACGTGAGCTGATTTTTATTACTTACTAGTCTCTTGTTATTTTGAGACCATAGAGTAAATCGAATCGAAAAAATTATTTTCGCTTTCTAAAGTCTAGGTTTGACAAGAAGCATTGAAAACTGTAGTAATTATTTTCATTAGGTATTTTTATTATTTTATATAACATAAAAACGTAAAAGACGTTCCACTCGCTCCCATGAAATGTACGAAATTGATACTTCAAAGAACACTTACGATGATATAGTTACCCTTCCAAATCCTGGCAATTCTAGTTCTGATGGATCAGATTTCGATACTGATTCGGATGATGAAATTTCTAATATAACGTACACAGAAACTTGTAAATCATACATTGAAACTCAAACTAAATTAGAAAGAACGATCATGAACTCCAGGCGTATAACAATATTAAAAAATTAATAAATATGGAACTTACACATTTACCGTTGAAGACGATCGGGAGCATGGAGACGGTGGCAGTACTTGAAGTGGCGACCGACGCCTGCTGTAATAGTATCACATATATATTAATAGGAAACACGTGTATGCTTCGTACTGAAATTCTCTGTATAATAAAACTGTGAGAGTAACCGTGTACTATGCCGATAACGACTACGACGACGAAAACCAGTCATCGTCAAAAAAGAATGCGATCCAAAATAAAACAAGAAATTTTAACTACGTGAGACAGAGAGAGAGAGAGAGAGAGAGAGAGAGAGAGAGAGAGAGAGAGAGAGAAAGAGAGAGAAAGGGACATTAAATTTGAAATTGGAGTATATACTCTCTCTCTCTCTCATGTACACACGCACATACCTACGTATACATATTATATAACGAATAATACTATTACATTAATAAATTGATAAAGTATCTATAAAAAATTTTATTAATTTATCAATTTATTAATACAATATTATTAGATATATTAATTTTTAATTGCTTTATCATACTCTCACATTCCTTATTTAATGAAAAAAGAACAAAACCTCTTTTTAATGTAAAGAACATACGAGGTGTGTTCAAAAAATAACGAGAATTTTCGTTTTATGAAAAAAATATTTATTTATTCATCTACATTAATGTTGTCGCCTTCAAAGTAGTCCCCTTCGGATACAATACACTTATGCCAACGCTTTTTCCAATCCTCGAAACACTTTTGAAACTCGATCTTTGTAATAGCTTTTAGCTCTTTCAGCGATTCGCTTTTAATGTCATCTATGCCTGTAAAACGACGGCCTTTTAATGTTCTCTTTATTTTTGGAAATAGAAAAAAGTCACATGGAGCCATATCTGGCGAATATGGAGGCTGAGGCATCATTACAGTTTCGTTTTTGGCCAAAAATTCACGAACAAGCAATGAAGTGTGAGCAGGCGCATTATCGTGGTGCAAAAGCCATGAATTGTTTTGCCACAAATCCGGGCGTTTTTTTCGGATTGCTTCACGCAAACGACGTTGAACTTGTAGGTAGTACTACTTATTGATTGTTTGACCTTGTGGCAAGAATTCATAATGCACTATGCCATTAAAATCGAAGAACACAGTGAGCATAACCTTCACATTCGACCGCACTTGTCGAGCCTTTTTCGGTCTTGGCGATCCAGAATGCCTCCACTGGGACGATTGAGCCTTAGTTTCGACATCATATCCGTAAACCCATGTTTCGTCACCTGTTATAACACGTTTTAGTAGTTCTGCATCGTTCTTGACTTCATTTAGCGACTCCTGAGCAACTTCCATTCGCCGCTGTTTTTGTTCGAAATTCAACAATTTTGGAACGAATTTTGCTGCCACACGTTTCATACCCAAAACATTCGAAAAAATTTGATGGCATGAGCCAACTGATATGCCAACATCATCAGCGACTTCTCTGATTGTGATTCGGCGATCGTTCATAACCATATCTTTCACTTTTTTCACGTTTTCATCGGTTGTTGATGTGCTTGGGCGTCCGGGTCGTTCGTCATCTTCAACGTTTTCGTGGCCATCTTGGAAACGCTTATACCACTCATAAATCCTTGCTTTACTCATAGCAGACTCACTATATGCCTTTGTTAACATTTGACAAACTTTACTACACTTTATTTCATTTTTTACGCAAAATTTAATACAAATTCTTTGATCCATTTTTTTTCACAAACGAAAATCGCCGAGCTCGAAAAACACGTCTAACGTTAGCGGCTGCCA